ATTTTATTAAAATATAATTCGCATTGCACGCTGACGAAGTATGCGAATACAGCTTCTATCATTTCGAGAGGCGAAAGAGGAGAGAGAGAGAGAGAGAGAGACAGAGAGACAAAGAAAGGAAGGAAAGAGGAGAAAGAGAGAGAGGGAGAAAAAAGAGGAAAGGCAAGAGAAAGGGGAGAAAAACGCGTATAAGCCATCGTTCCCAAACCACACGAAAAGACATTCTAATTTGTTGAACTTTCTCTCAATGCCTTTAAAACTCATTCCGTACTTTTGCGTGATTTTAGTCGTATTATCAATCGCGCGAAGATATTTTCTCCGTTATTTTCCAAAAAGATTAGAAAAATTATAGCACAATTAATAAAATGCAACCGGTGGAAGACACTCCAAAGTGCTATAGACCGCGAAATGAATGTAAAGGAAACGTACAGAATAAAACATTCCGGCTGGATATTACACAAGTGGAATTACTCTGACTGCATAAAATATATTCTAGAGCAGGAGCTTTTCATCAAATATACCTCAACAAACCAGACAACAGTGACGAAATAGCAATAACAGCGAAAATAATGATGATAATAATAATAATAGTAACAGAATAGTAGTAGTAATAGCAGAAGCAGCAGAGCAATAGTAGTAATAGGAGTAATAGTGGTAGTAGCAGTAGCAGCAGCAGTAGTGATAGTAGTAGTAATTTTTGTAGTATAGTAGTAGTATATAATAATAATACCAATAATAATATTAATAACAATATTAACAGCAATACTATTATTAGTACTAATTAATATTCACGATAGTAATTGCGCGATACGCATAATGTGAATACAATAATAATCCACGTAATAACAAAGTGATAAGGTACTTTATGTAAAATTCGTTAGGTATCGTAAAGAACATAAGTCTATATAGCCCGCTAAAGCGTTTAATGTGGAATGAATATATTAGAGTAAAATATATTGTTTGTATTGGTGTTTGTGCGTGCGTGTGTGCGTGCCTGCGTGCGTGTGTGTGTTTGGGAAGGTGGAGGGAGGTGCGCGCGTGTATTAAATTATTACATATCTCATCTTTTCAGATTCAAGCAACGATAAAAAATTACTCTATAAAGAATATTTCCCGCAGACCGAAAGAATAAAGCATCTGTCCTTTACTTTTTTGCCTCTTGATGTTCTCGTCATCTATTGAAATCATTAGAACCACGTACAGATCAGGCAATATTTAATATCGAAAAGATTTAGCCTATTTCGAGGCTCGCTTGCAGTCTTATCGAAACTTATTTTTGGACGTCTTTACCTATAATTAATTGGACGATTGTGTCTTGTGGACACTGAAAGAAGCCTTCTCCGCAGTATCTTCGTTATCGCCACGTTATCTAACTAATAAAGCCTAAATTAGTTGACGTTTCATAGCCAATGAACGCTCATGACACGGTTTCGACAAACATTTTTACGAGGTCTCGCCCCGTACCGCGAAACAATGTCGAAGCTTCAACTAAAACATCTACGACCACGTTTGAATCTCAAATCAGCCATCTTGAGATTGAAACATCTATAATAACGATCGACTCGGATTTCAATGTTGTAGACACATTGAAATGAGGTGTACGTTTAATCGTGAAAGAAATCACACACGACGATCGATGCGAGGCACATTTTCCTGTGTCTGTAACATCGGGAATTGGAGTCAACGATATTATTCACCGATATCAATCCCCCAAAACGATATAAAAACTAAAGTTCGCGCGTATCCAATTTATCGTATCCCACATCGTGTGGACCGATCGTTCGTACGTTCCTGCGCGATACGTAGATTTGAACGGGGACAAAGGAGTTAAAGAGAAACGAAAATAATCAAATGAAGTAAAAGAAACAAAATATAGAAGGGACATATTCTAGAGATATACACGTGTATAAGTACGAGTAATTATAACGTTAATATTACGGTTCTATTTTGATCCATTGGCACCGGGTCCCGTAAACCATAACACCGATACGTAAATCTTGAGTAGAAAAGCGTGAGTGATCGCTTCCGTGAGAGAACAAACGATTCACCGATTTGAAGGATAACGCGAAAATGGGGATCGACTTAAAAATCAATTCGGAAAGCCTAATTTATACATATAAATCATTCGATTGCACTCCCGTCAGTCTCACTTTTTCTCGTCGCACTTTGTCAACCGACCGAATTGTCACCTTTTCGGAAATTCGGGAGCGCGATGTCAACGATATCACCGTCTCGTCATAACGACCGAAACATTATACGTACATATATATGTGTATATAAAAAAATATAGAAATATATAAAATAATCGCGCGATCCAGAATTGCAGCAATTTCCAGTCCGCGTGATAGTGTGACAATGTGATACACCTACCACGTACGTTTGTATTTGGAAGCACTGATTTCTCTCGGAGCTGATTTCTCTCGCCTTTACGGAAATTGTTGCCAAACAGACGAACGAGGAAGATTCGAGTACACGCAAACACGACGGCGACGGCATCTCGACGCAACCTCTGTCGGAAAAGAACAGAGCTGCGCTCAATAATCGCATCTTCCTCGATCTGTTGAGTGGCTAAAAGAGAACCCACAAACTCGGAGTCTTGTATACTCTGACTGGTCCCAAATGTCGAACCCATTACAATCAATAAGCGACAATAACGTAACGTAACGCAACGTAACGTAACAATCGCATCTTGTGCGTTGGCACTCGGAGAGTCGTCTTCTCACCACTCGCCTTTATCTTCGACAACTTCATTTCAGCTCCTCATACACGACTCGCACCTTCGTAATAAGCCGTTAAAAGAGCGCCGCGAGCGTCTCTCTTGACGATTGTCGCTAACTTTCAGTTTCGACGTAATGAACAATCATCATAGGCATCATCGACAAAAAAATTAGCACAGGCGCGATGTCAAACAGCGACAAATCTCGATGGTGTTAACGGGTTAATGCACGAGCAAAATCAGACGACTAGGCATTAAATGCACGTCAAAGTGATCATCGTCATTATTACGGAGCGACGCGACGAGGGGGATCGAATAGCATCGGCTAGACAAAACGGACCACGAGAGCCGGAGAAGTGAACGACGCGATTCTCCGTGGAGCGAGGGTGGCTACACTAGGTGCAACTCTCTCTCTCTCTCTCTCTCTCTCTCTCTCTCTCTCTCTCTCTCTCTCT